CAGGGAGGAGGGGCCCTCCTCGCTGGGGTCTGGATGCCCGGGGGTGGGACCTGGAGGACACCCTGTGGCTGCTCTCGGCAGGACGAGGCCTTCACGCAGGATCAACCCCACCCCGGTGAGCGAGGAGCGGTCACTCTCCAAGCCCAAGACCTGCTTCACTTCGCCGCCCATCAGCTGTGTCCCCGGTGCCCAGCCCTCCGTCCTGGACTCGAGCCCCTGGGGCCAGGGCCCCGCCGCGGGGTGCAGAAGTCTGCAGGAGGAGCGGGAGATGCTCAGGAAGGAGCGGTACGGCCTCGCGGCCCGGGATGTTCGTGTCCTTCCTGGGGGGGGGGGGGGGGGCTCTGCCAGGCTTTTCCCTGGTGCTGGTGGCCCCCGGGGGCCTTGGGTCTGTGTCCTGGCCTGCGCTGTCTTCTCTGGAGGACCCTGAGCCGGGCGGTGGAGGGGCAGCCAGGCCGAGTGCGCATGGGACCGCTGTCTCCACAGCTCTAAGCAGCTGCAGCAGTCGCCTGCTCCCGCCTGTCCCACCCCAGAGTCGGGGTCTTCCCTGCCCACCCGGACGGGAAGCCTCACAGCTGAACCTGCTGACCCTGCCAAAGTGTCTTCCCGCCAGCGCCTGGAGCTGGTGGCCCTCGTCTACTCTTCGTGCATTGCAGGTGAGTGAGAGCACAGGGTGCTGGAGCGGAGATACTTACAGAACTATAGGGTAAGAGAATTGATAAGGCGTGTAGAAATTGAGCCTTGATTCTTTTTATTTTAATGTTTAAAAATATATTTAAAATATCATTACAGATTATTTTACAGTCTGAGATTGTCTGTATAGAATAGAAGCATTATAATGCAAAATTTTCCAAGTTCTGAGTAAAATTTCTTTTGAAAACAGCAGTTACGAGACATTTTTTGTCCCCTCTCCCTCCCCCAGCCTTGATTCTTAATGGTGCTCAATGCATTGGGGTTTCTTTTTATATCCAGAAAACCTGGTGCCAAATCTCTTCTTGGAGCTTTTCTTCGTTCTTCAGCTCCTTACTGCACGGAGGATGGTGGCTGCTAAGGATAGTGACCTTGAACCCAGTCCGGGAGTCCTAGGTCAGTGAGCAAGCCTTTTTTTGAGAAATGGGGTCTAGAAATGGAATAATTTTTAACTGAGCTTGATACTATCATTCTAGATTCCCTGGAAAGCCCACTATTCCAGAGTGTGCACGATTGTGTCTTCTTTGCAGTGCAGGTTTTGGAACATCAGTTTCAGTGAGTTTCCCCAGCTGAGGCATCCGAGCCTTGTCCCCATTGTCCACTTGGTTCTCTGGCCAATTGGGGTACGGGCTTGTGCTTAACACAAGTGTGCAGTGACCCTGGATCTTTTCCTACATGTAACCCTTTAATTTTGTGTCAAGGCTATGAATTTGGCCTGTGAAAGAGTCAAACTGCCTGCTGTGATCTTGGTGACTGACCTTTGTCCTGGTTACTGTCTCATGTTCTGTCCTGCTCTCTTGCTCCCTGCTCCATAAGGTCTCATTTCCTCCCCTTTTACTCTCATCATCCTTAATCCTTGGCCCGTGGCTTTGCCTTACATACCTGCTCCATGCTCTATACTCTGTGTGGTATGCTGGTGCCAGCTTCCTATTTGCAATGTGTGTCCCATTACATTCATATATGCTCTTGACCCTGTAGAATTCTTTCCTACCTGGACAAAGGGACCTTGAAGCTGTTGGCTGAGAATGAGCGGCTGCTATGCTTCTCACCAGCTCTGCAAGGCCGCCTTCGAGCTGCCTATGAGGGCAGTGTTGCCAAGGTACTGACCCCACCCTAGATGTCGACTGGCCCAGAGCCGACCCTTCCCAGCCTCATAATTCAGGTGGCCCAGTTCATACCACTCTGCTGTCCTGTGATCTAACTGGGCAGGAATAAGGGGATGAAGTTTTCTGAGCATACACTCTGCAGGCTTCTGTTCCTAATGTCATTGCCATATTTTAGGTCTCTCTGGCGATGCCACCCTCTGTTCAAGCTGTCTCCTTTCAGCCAGAAACTGACAATCGTGCCAACTTCTCCAGTGACCGAGCCTTTCATACTTTTAAAAAACAGAGGTGATAAGAAAAAGGAATTTGTGGGGAGGGAAAGAGGCCATTTTTACTCTGGGATAGGCAACTTATGTCATTTTCATAGAAAACTGATCAACTTTCAGTACCCCGAGATATGTCAGGCATGTGGTGGGCTGCTACTGGGTTACAGCATTGTCATCCTGTAGAGAACTTCAGAGAACACGAGGAATGGGGCTGTGGGTAATCCTGTCAT